TATATTTATTATTAAATGAGATACATAAATAAATTAAGCATTTTTCTACAGTAGGTAGAATTAAAATGTTTTTAACTTAATATTATATAAAATTCATTTTTATATATTTTTAAGTAAAAATATTAACAAATTCTTCAACATTTAGAGGTATGTTACGATGAATCATCATCAACGCAAGGCCCGACAATCTAACGTTGCCTTGTTGATTTCTCAAAAATGTTTTAAGTCGACCTAGTGTTGAACTTCTTTCGACAGATTCAGTAGTAACAGGTATGGTACATAATGCCGGCTACACACGATCAGTTTTAACTGTCACTTTTCACTGAACAGTTTTAACTGTCAGTGAAAACTGACTGTGTGTTGGTTGAAAACTGACATTTATCTCGTTATCAGTTAAAACCGATTGAAATATGATTTCATATACCTATTTTTAAACTGAAATGACGGAACTATTCAGTTAAAAATGTGTGTAAACTGAATGTGTGTAGGTGATTATTATCAATCGTGTTGCAGTTATCTACGCATTTGAATCCGTACACCCGTATATACGTATTTTGTATTTTCATATATCTCTGTGAAACCATGAATAATCAAAAATGTCCCAAAAACCACTCTTTGCGTTTATATGAACATTACTTTTTAAGTAACTTTCTAACTTAACTAGTTAAATTAAATGTATAAGATAGTCTAATCTTACTCATTAGAAAATAAAACTAACTAGTTATTATTATTTTTTTCATTCCAATATTCCAAAAGCTGTTCCTCAATCATGATATTTTGGCATATGCCTATATAAATTATTGTCCCTGTTTGTGCACCATCGCGACAAGCGTCGAGGATTCACTAACACCACCGTCGGCACACCCTCTTTTTTACCCCACCGGTGACGTGCACCCGGTCACCCGGGCCGTCGATCACGGTGGTGTATGCGGAAAAACTGGTTTTCGGTTCTGGACACGTTCGCTTACGGCCGGCCGGCCGATAACTATCGTGCCTGCGCCGCCTTTTTTCCGTGAAGGTTATCTTCCTAAGGTCGATTCCTTTTTGTACGCGATTGTCGTTTTGTCGTGCGTTTGATCCGCCACCGTTGGTTGATCTCGTATGTGTGTCACCGCGTGTAGTGTCAACGCGTCTTTTTTTAGATATTGTCGACCTCGTGGTCACTTTCGCGGCCTTGCGTCCTTACGTCCCGTTTATCGCGTCGGTTGATTGGTGGACAATGGTATTGTGCCATCACCGTGCACGTATTTCACGAACTCGATTTTGTGCTTGTTAGACAGTTCCTTTTCGAGTGCGTTCCCGTACGTTAACCTGTTTTCGGTTCGCGATCACTCTGGTTTCGTTGACGTCCACGTGGTTTTCACCCGTGGTCCTTTTTACAAGCCGGATCGTCGTGCGCGTCGCGTATGCCAGTAGTACCAACTTCGTTCCCGACACAAGCCATCCATCGCCACGATTGTTGTCCGTCGCGGTCTGCCGGTTGGTAGCAGTAATTATTTACGCTGCCATCAGGAATCAGGTGTAGCGATTATCAGTTAGACCCTTATCACCACCACCCCAGATAAGATTGTTTTTATTTATTTATTGTCTGTAAACCTTAATAATAATAAGTTTGGTTTTTGCCCAAGGGCATATTATTAATTCGTCTATCATTTCTTTGGCCTCTTGTTGTCCTTGAACTTCACCATCTCCTCCTCTCACCATATTTCATAAGCTTCTTCAGAGCGCACGTTCGCGAGTGTCGCACGACCGGCTGGCGATAAATATTTTTCAAAGGCTCCGCGACGGTGCGTTCAAACAGTCCCATATATATTATTAATTATTAGTATTTATAATAATGCACGCACAGGAACCACGATTTTTCCGCGTTATCTGTAGAATGTTGATATCTACTAGATATAAATGGTATCTATACGGGTGGCTTGACCAATTAGTTAAGACACGATGCCGAATTTTCGTGGTAGTGTTATCGGTGGTTTACGATTACCCGTTTATTTATATTACTATTTAACTATTATAGTATTACCATTGATTATAAATACTAGTATTTATAATCAATGGTATTACCTATATTTAAGATTTAATAACTATATTATACCACAATATCAGTAATATTTACTGTTGCAATGTGCGATTATTCTAGAATCACGCACACGTGCACCACATATGATGATTTTTTACATTTCGATGCTATAGAAAATCCAGAAACAGATAAACTTCAAAATTTATTTAATGAATATTCAAACTCTTCTCCTGAAATACCATTAATAACATTTTCCGAAGAAATACAAAAATTGTATTTTAAGTATAATACAAGTATTCCCTCGAGTGCTCACGTCTAGAGACTTTTCAGTGCAGGAGGCCAATTATTCGATGAAAGGCGTGGGTCTATGTTTGATGATAACTTTGAAATGTCATTTTTGTTAAAATTTAACAAGTATTTTGAATAAAATTTACTAGAATATAGTTATATAGATTATATTATGTATTCTTATTTAATATTAATATTTTAAGTTGTCATACTATTATATCTTTTTTTTATTTCGTTTCATCTTTTATGTTCTAATAACTGGTAAGTGATATACCAATAATTAATTGAAATTATTACTCACCTAATTAGAACCAGTGGCGTACCGAGGAGGTTTTTATCGGGGGGGGGGGGGGGGGGCAAAGTTAGTATTTTGGCCAACTTAACAATTTGATCCAGGACAACTTTTTATCGTTATTTCACAGAAACCATTTCATCATTACACAGTTGGATGTTTATTATTTTTCATTAAAAAAATTAAACAAGTAATACAAGTTAATAATTTTTTTTATAATTACACCGTCCTGCGACTACTTTGCTGTTTTAACTTTTTGCACTTATATTTATAGATTTTGAAGCGCTGAATTCAAATCTGTAATCAATTTTTCTCTAACACGTCTAGTTTTTCTACAGTTAGAATAATAAATATTGTCTCTTCTGTATAGTCATTAGTCATACAATAATGTGCGATATATTCGTCGAATTATTATTATTATAAACTGAATGTCGTCTACTTTACTGAAATTTTAATCTTATCTTTATTAAATTTTTTATCTTATAGTAGTTCAATTAAATATATTTTTAAACTCACACAATTTATGTTTATTCTCTATAGTTACGTTCATTTTAGTCTTCATAAAATATCCGAGTTGTACCTATATCACCTTTCTTAGAGTTTATTTGTGCGATTTTTGATTTTCAATTTTTTTTAGTATGACGTCTAAACCAATTAAAAGAAGATGTTGTAAAAACAACTCAAATTTATTTTGTTATATATGTGGTGAATATGTTATAATGAAACAACGAAATAACATTACAAATTTTGTTAAAAATGTATACCAAGAATATTTTGGTATTCATTTAGGCGATCAAAATAAATTTTGGGCACCCCATATTGCTTGCCGATCCTGTGTTGAAAGTTTGCGAAATTGAAAACAAGGTAAGCGTTTATCAATGCCTTTTGCAGTACCAATGGTTTGGCGAGAACCAAAAAATCATATTGATGATTGCTATTTTTGTATGGTTAATATTTCCGGTTAGAATAAAAAAAATAAATCGAATATAATTTACCCAAATTTACTTTCTGCTATACGACCAATACCACATGACCCTGAATTACCAGTGCCTGTACCATCCAAAGCTTTCGAAACTATTTTAAACCACGATACTTCTATAGATTCCGCTGGCAATTCTAGTAATAATGACGAAGACTTTCAACTTGACACCACAGATGCTCCACAACTTTTCAATCAATTTGAATTAAATGATTTAGTACGTGACTTAGCTCTTACTAAAGAGGCAGCTGAAATTTTGGGTTCGAGACTCAAAGAAAAAAATTTACTTGCAAAAGCTACTACTTTTTCTTGGTACGGGAATTGTGAAATGGAATTCAAACAATTTTTTTCAAAGGAAGGACCACTTGTATTTTGTAATAATATTTCTGGATTAATTAAACATTTTGGCAAATATTATGATGTGAATGAATGGAGGTTGTTTATAGATTCATCTAAAAGAAGTCTAAAAGGTGTTTTACTTCATAACGGAAACCAGTTAGCGTCTATTCCCATTGCACATTCAGTACATTTAAAAGAAACGTACGAAAACTTACATTTAATGTTAGAAAAAGTTCAATATCCACTACATAAGTGGATTGTTTGTGGTGACTTAAAAGTTTTGGGAATGTTATTAGGTCAACAAGGTGGCTTATATAACCTATAAGGTTATAGTATAGGTTAGTATAGGTTATAGTATAGGTAAATGTTATACTATCTTGTAAAAAAACTAGACGTGATAGAGACAAACTAATTTCAGATTTGAATTTTGCGCATTAAGATCTATAAGGATCAGGTATTATTATACAAACAACAAAAATAACAAAATATTTTGCAGGACGGTGTTATTAATAAAACTATTTTAATGTTTAAGAAAATTGTCAATTATAAATATTTTTCATCATTATCCTTATTGATAATCAATATTCTTCGTTTTTTTAGAGTAGGTAGCCCATAAATGAGGGAATTCTTCAATACATGAATATTTAAAACTATATTTTTCTGTTTGTGGATATACATTCAATTTTAGTTGATGAGGCCCCATCATTAATAAATATTGCCGTTGATTATCAGATATAATTTTTGTTCTTTTTCCTGGATCATGTACAACAGCACTATCAACAACATTTACTTCAGAAAAAATACCAAATTGATTTTCAAGTTGTGCTGTTACTTAATTAGATGTATTTAGTACAGAGTTGAAAATTTTCATAATATTATCTATAGTTTCTTTAACTTCAACTACTATTTTGTATGCATTTAATACTTCAGCTTATTGCAAATTGTGAATAATAGGTTTGTATAGTTTCATATAATCAAAAAAGTACCTGAATTGTCCAGCACAACTCAAAACACTATTAGTTAAATTATTAGTTTCACTATTTTCACAATTGACATTTTTCGATGGAAGATTTTCTAGATTAACCTATAAACCATTTCAAATTTTGCTTATAAATTCTATGTAATCTTCCAAAATGTTTTACTTACTGCACTAAACCATCGGATAGCAAACATCCGCTAACATTATATCATGTATTGATACTAATGTGGCAAAACCGAAACGGAAACCAATATCAATACTTATTCGTATTGATAAGCAGTTTCCTCGGAACAGAGCCCATTTTCAATATCACAGAAATAAGCTTCCTTGTTCACATCCGGCAGAATCCCCATCGACCTTACTCTTATCCTAAATGGCTGCCTATAAATACGGTATCCATTTACCCATACATTTAGAATAGTAGAATGAATTAAACTAGTGTTAACTAATTACTCCGCTTACTGCACCGACGCTCATCTGGTCGTGAAGCCCGCGCGCCTCACATCGCCGCCAGCTCTGAGAGTCAATCTTTATTATTCTCGGGCAGAGCTTAATTACTCTGTCCTCACACTTTCAATTATAAAATACTATCTTATTTGTATTAACCACATATTATATATATTTTATTTTATTCATTATTATACATATCTGTATAACTTTAAACCATCGTGTTTTGTCATTTAAACACCTTCCAACGACTCTACATCACAGACGTGAACCGTTCAAGTATTTATTCGTCAACGGTGTATTGCGTCGTCCTCTTGCAGAACGGCCCACTACATACTGGTCACACGTTAGTCTCTGCCCGCTAAGTGTTTTCACAGTCGTACTCCGGTTTTAACTCTCATCGCTAGGTTTTATTTTTACCGTTGTGTTATTTTAAACATATCAAATATGTTCAAGTGCGTTCAGTGTAACAGAATGTTCTCTAGCAAAGATAATTTAGTTAGACACAATAAAATCCACAAAATGTTCAGTTTACGTGTGAAATATGTTTTAAGACTTTTGCCCGTAAAGATAATTTGGCAAAACACACGAAGAATATGCATGGTATGTATTTTTAATTAAATAAATACGATTATAATAATTATTTCATTTTTTTCAAAAATATTTTAATTAAATATTTAAAAAGCTCATTACATTTAATTTTCATTCGATAAATTTTACAATAGAATTAATAATTATTATTTAATTAAACATTTACAAGTGTATACATATAATTTTATTTTTAAAATGTTTACAATTTTTCAGCTAATATTGTTCGACGTAATGAACATGAAATCGCTCCGGAGATTTTTGTTCCCGACATACCTGCCGGTCCATCAGATGAAATTGTTGATTCCGATGACAAATTGTGTGTGCTGGCTATGGAAGGCGCTGAAAATTTGGTTTTTGCGAAGGTAATATTTTTTATTAAATATAAATCAGATAATTCTAGTTTGAAACAGTTTATATATCTAACGGGGTTATTTTTTCTCTCCGTAGGGCTTGAAAATTGTAAACGGGGAAATTCGAAGGATGTAGGTCAGATAAAGAGAGCCAGGTTAAATTTAGTAGGAAATGCGACTGGTTTTATCAACGTTGGATCATCTTTCAATAATATTATCACTAGGTATTATAAAAAAAAACTTGGAAAATATATTCAATCATTCTATCTTTCTCAGCTCAATAAAATCAGAACTAATCGAAATTTTAAAATCATCATCAAAACCACTCAAATTCAATCTTAAACTAGAAGCCACATATAACAAACCACATGTAGATAATTCGTCCGTGAACAGAGCGTTCAAGACCTCGGCCAGGGCGATTTACGCGGATACGAATGTCGAAGACATAGTCGACCACATGTTCGTAAACATTTTAACCGAAGAAGATACCTATCAGGGCAAAGGCAGTGGATTTTCACTCCAAGCTATTGACGGTGTATTATTAGGTATTTATAAATATATACCTTTGGGCGGATCATCATATTTACCATTACCTTCATACATTGAAAATAAAAAAGCTACCATTAATCCGCAGAACAATGACGAACAGTGCTTCAAGTGGGCTATTCTAGCCAAACATATCACGGGAGAGAAAAAACATAGAATCAATGATAATTATTATATTCACGAATACAAATACAATTTCACAGGTCTGACGTTTCCGACACCGTTGAATGAAATTAAAGTATTCGAAAAAAATAATTCGGCTACATCTGTAAATGTTTACGGACTTGAGAAAAAATTCCAACCGCCTTTGAAATTCCCCACATATAAAGTCTTTCCGCTAAAAGTAGTCAATGAGGAGGAGGAAGAACATTTTGACCTCATATTAATTACAGACAACGAAAGATCGCATTATATATACATTTCAGATTTCTCAAGACTTATTCGCTCTCAAAAAACTATGCATAAAGAGAGTGTTGTTTTTTGTAAACGGTGTTTTACAAGTTTTGATCATAGAGTGAGACATAAATTAAGCGGTCAGGCAGCGTTGGACGAACATTTGAAAATATGTGGATCTCATAAACCCATATTGCCAGCTATGCCTATAGAAGGAACAACTCTAAAATTTGAGGCATGGAGTAAATCGCAAAGACATCCTATTGTAATCTATGCAGACTTCGAGGCATTACTAGTGAAGATTGAAGAGAAAAAAGGTAAAAAGACAACAGAAATTCAAAAACATAAACCGATGAGTTACGGGTTAATAGTAAAAGCAAGTGAAGACGTACCTACGGAACTGTTGGAAGAACTAGATATACAACAATCAGTTATTATACATCGTGGATCTGAGACGCGTGAAGAGGTTGCCAAGCATTGTACAACTTGTACGGTTGGGCAATGTCACAATACATGCCATACGGTGGGTTCAAATGGGTAGAGCCTACGCTAGTTGGTTTGGAAACATTGACAGATACCTCAGATATAGGTAGAGTGTATACATACTGGCATAAAACAACAACATTAATAGTAGGTAAGGGCCATGGTATCATATAAATATATAATTTATATATAATTTTAATATAAATTTAACAATACGCATAAAATGTTTTAATTGAATCTGAAATTTCACTATGGGCCCGGGCCTAAGCCCCCCCCCCCCCCCAATATACGCCACTGGTACTAGCTCTCGCCCGTTGTATAACAGAACATTTTATATTTGTAAATATTATAAATATTGACTTTGTTCCTTTGAGTTTTATATTTTTATCGCGTTCTCGTGTAATTATTATTATTTCATAGAACGTCTGCAGTGCATGTTGATATACATATCTTAATTAATTTATAAAGGTGCCTATTTTTTTCTGTGTTTGTTATTCTAATGTAATTTATTATTATACTTGTCAAAATGCATTAATTATTGTTTGTTCTCAAAACTGTTGAATTATTTGCATTTATTCTATCAAACTAATTGTGACGATTCCTTTTTATAATAAATTTAGTACAGTCTTATATTGACAGTTATCGTATCGACTAAGACTAAAACAATAATATTTATATTGAATCTCGCCCTAAAAATATAAATGAAAAAAAAATTAAAACATTAAAATTAAAATCCGATTACATAAATTTTAAACAAATTATTATTCGATCTTTATATGAATCTTAACCAGCGAGTAAAAACTAATTTACAAGTTCAACATTTAGTCTCGTAACTAAATTTCAATATTATCTGCTCTAGCGTCAGAAATTTATTTAAAAAAGTTACAAGACGCCAGTATAGTTCTATTATTATTACGCTATAGTTGGTAATTTGTTTATAATTTTTGTTGCCTGAAAAATTGAAAGTAGACGAATATATGAATATTATTGTACAAATGAATATTAAATAACGTATACTTACAAAGAGCTCTCAAATTTAAATTTTTTAAAAATAATACTAAAAATTCTTTTTTACTTTTTAAATTTGTACATTTAACACAACTTGAACACTGAACTTAAAACAGATGGTTTTTTATTTAAAAAAATATTATGGAAGACAATGGATATTTAAAATAATACTGTTTTGAACAAAGACACTAAGTATTTAATTGTAAGTAAAAAAAAAAAAAAATTGTTTATAAAGAGCCGAGACGAATGGCGAATATTTAATTAAAGAAAACTAATGAGTTCCTATACTAGAGTTATATTTATTGAACAAAAGTGTCATTTATTTTTCCACAGAATAGTATTCACTTACAAAATACTGAATACAATACGGCAAGTTAATAATACTATATTAGAACAAACGATTATAATTAGACATAAAAGAAATATAATGTCAACTTTTTATAATTAAATAACTAATTATACATTATAATGTTATACAAATACAATACACTCTGGCTTTGACTATTATAAGACCAAGACTTTAAACAACAAATTTTACTCTGAATAACCTTATAGTGATTGTACAGATGTAATTGATAAATGTTGAATATAACTTTTAAAATATCATGGATGCAAAAACTATGTTTATTATCTATATCCATTTTCATATCTCCTAAATAGCTTAATAATTATAAATTAAATATAATTTATCATATGATTAATATTTAATGATTAATATAAATATCAGAGCTTGAAATTTTTTATTTGAATTTTAATTTCAATTTTGATTATTGATTATTTTGATTATTTCTTTAATCTCGATTATGGTTTCAAATATTGTAATTTATTTTTTGCGATATTGTTTTTGAATTCGATTATCGAAATTCAATTTTTTCAATTTCGGTTTCAGAAATCGGTATTTTTTTTTTTCTATTTCGGGTTCACAACAGAATGTTATCCATGACTTATAATAATTTCTTAAATGTTTGTACATCATTAGCATGATAGTGTTGTAGGCTATAGCGACAAGTTACTGATGTAGGTAGTCATAAGCGTGCGCACGGGGTAGTCAGGGTAGGCACTTGATTACTCTGTGAAACTTCCGTCTCTACACCAAAATATTCATAGTTATCATAATAATAAATAATCATATTATGTTCAACCACTTCGAAGCATCCGTAAGCAGTAAATACATGTATAAGAATATTGAAAAAATATAATTATTAAGTTAATTTAAATTACCCTATCCAAATTCATTGTTAATATTAAATGTAAATATGTATGACTACTTTGCCAGTAATTTCTGCGCGCGCTTATGTAGGTAGTATATATTTAAATCCATTTTCTTATTACCTATGTTAAAAGCTTTTGTATAAACTACAATTATTATTAAAATATCTCAAAAATGAAAAAACATAATATGAAAGTGAAGCTAAAATTAAGTAAAATATGGATACATCTATGTGAAATTATTAAAATGTAAAATAAAGTTTTGTATTCATAGACTCAGACATACATAATTTAACGAAATATAAGAACAATGTTTTAAATTATAAGTGGGACAAATATGATGACGCCTTGCAAAACTGCAAAGGTACAGAATAAAACTATTTTAGATTATTTGATTGTATATTATTGGTTAAAAGTATAACTCACGGGTGATAGCCAATGGATTATTATAAATTAATATCTTATCCATAATAATACACTACAAAATGTCTATATATAGTATGTTATACGGAATAAATCGTGTGTATAAAAACCAGGGCTTCAAACCATAATGATTTTTGTGGTTAATGGTTTTAGTTCATCTACTATCTTATTCGGTTTTCAAAACTGATTAATACTGATCATATATTTTATAGTTTTTTAAAACCGGTTAATTTTGTTCTTTTAAAAAAATATATTTTTTTATAACAATTTTATACCTCAGACAATTCATTGTCATAATTATGAAATGATTAATTAGAAAATTCAACTATTGTGAGATATTCTTCATAGTTTATATATTTATAATATATTAATATACAATAAATAATATGATACACATTTTTAAGTTTTTATTACAATATTGAATATACTAACACACATAATGAACAACATAACTGCAATATTTATTATCGAATAAGAAGAAACATAAAAACCATATTAATTCAAAATGTTGAACAAATTTACAAATATTTGATACAATTTAAGATAACACCATCGTCCATTAAAAGCGGTATTGTAACAATAAACAATATGGTTTGTGGTTGTCATTAATCGTGTTTACTTATTACCTAAAGTAGTGTGGGGTTACGACTAATAGTCCCACTTACCAACTGTTCAATTTTTATCTTGTGAATTATTTTATATGTATCTAATAATTTTTACACGTCTTTTGTCAAAAAAAATAGGTTGACCAACTTAACAAAATGTGTAAAAACTAAAACTAAATATTAATTATTTTTCGTAATTAAAAATGTATTTATTACCGTTCGAGAACTAAAAATATTTTTCTAGTTAACTATTTTGTTTTCGTTCTATAAAAAAATTAGTAATAGTGGTTCCATTTTTATTTTCGTTCATACACATTTTTCAATAAAACCGGTTAATAAAAAAAACGGTTTTAACCGGTTTGAAGCCCTGATAAAAACAACGATCACTCATCGAACGCTGATTCCTTATCGTAAATATTCCAAGAAAACAAAATAGATACTTATTATGTATAATTAATATGATTACCAAATATGGCAATGTCTACGAATCGACATAAACAGACCTGTTGCTGTTGAATTTTAAATGAATTTGATTTAAAATCGTTTTAATTATTAAAATGATTTTGATATTGATAGAAAATATCGATTTTAACTTTTTTCAATTTCGATATAAATTTTGAAAATCATTACCAATCATTAACGGTTTTGATATTGATTTTGATTTTCTAAAAGATTTTTAACAATTTTTATCGATATTTGAAATCGATTTCAAGCCCTGTATATATACATGTATATATATAGAGTGGAATCTCGATAACTCGAATCGGTTGGGGACAAAAAAAAATTCGAGTTACCGAAAATATTTTTTTATATATAACACAAAGAGTTCATTTTATAATTTTATTTATTTATATATTTATAGTCGTTGCCAGATAAATTGAGACGGCGGCGGCGGCGCGATAACGGAAAACCAGTGGTCCTCCGTATTTCAATATTATTACTGAAAATATATCAATAAACCAACTATTGTTACAAAAAATATTTTACGATATTAATTTCAAATCATATATTCTGATAATAATTTTTTATTTAAGAACAAAAAGTAGAAATTGTAAAATAATATAATTAATATAAGAATAACACATAATATTAATAATATGATGAAATAATAACAACATCTATATGCATTATTATAAACAAATATTGTTGATACGACTGAAGTGCTTGCGCGGTCAAAACACACCGGGTTAGGTTAGTTGTTTTTAGCAGTGTAGGGCAACCAGAACGGGAGAGAGAACAGAAAATTCTGCAGACAATTTTTTGCACTAAGCCGGGTTCGAACTGGTAACTGCGCGCGTCGTAGCTAACTGTAAGACCTTTGCACCACATTATCAGCGACTAGTTTGGGCTACACTTCATGAAAAGCGCCGCCGCCGCCGCCGTCTCAATTTATCTGGCAACGACTGTACTAATAAATGTATAATGTATGTAGGTATGTATATTGTATTAAAATTTTTAAAAAAGTATAAAGTCATAAATATGTATATGTATAAATTGTATGTTACACTCAAAGAAATACCTTGGGTATAATTAATAAAATAGGCTTGTTAATTATTAACACATTAATTATTATTGAAAATAAAAATATTTTGTTAATATAACAAATTGATTGTTCACTTAAAAATACTTTGACAACTTCAATAAACTTAATTTGTTAATATGTATACAATATTTAACAAACCATTCATATGGAAACTATCAATATTTTATAATTTTAACAAATTGTTTTAGTTATTTTAATGAACCTTTTAGTTAATTCAATTTACCCCGATGTCTGTTTTATTTTGATATTTACTCACTGAACACCATCTCTGGAGCGTTTTTTTCTTTTAAACGTCGATGTTGAATCCCCTTAATAGACATCTCTGTTAAAACAAAAAACATATTCATTGTCTTAATCAATTATTTTTAAAGATTTGTTGTAGAACTATTTATAAGGTTTATAATATTGTGGAACATGGGTTTTTTACATAAATCGTTGATAACCGATGGTCGGGGGAAGTAGCGTATTTATTGTGGGTGGGGGGCCCGGGTCTCGACCCCCCCCAGAAAAAAATTGAAAAAGTCAAAAAAACTTGGTACGTAGGTACCGAGAAAGAGAATATTAATTTTATATTATGGGTTTTTACTTTGATTTAACTTTTGGTTATTTTTGTCGCGTCGTTTGATATTGAAATTAAAATTCCGAGATTAACAAAAAAACAAACTAATAGATGCAATATACCATTAAATACTCCGGAACAATATTATCGAGCATCAATTTTTATTCCTTATCTTTACAAATGTATTACAGAGTTAGAAGAAAGGTTCAATGTTCATCGATCGATTTTATCAGGTTTCGATTCTCTATTTAGGGAAAATGGTCCCATCAAAGATATTATAATTCTTTCAAATAAATATATTGAAGATTTGCAGAATGATGGATCTCAAAATCAAATTATTGAAGCAGAATACAAATTATGACAGAGAAAATTCATACAAACAACAGAGAAACCAAATAATGTTCTAGAGGTTATGGCTATGTGTAACCAGTCAATTTATCCAAACATATTTAAACTTCTTCAAATCTTAGTCACGCTACCTGTTTCCTCTGCAACAAATGAAAGAACATTTTCAAATTTAAAAAGAATAAAAACGTATCTAAGGAATTCCATGTCAGAGGTAAATTATTATAAACTTAAAAAAATATTCTTGTTATTTACAAATTACAATTAACAATTAACACTTTGTTTATTTTTTTGTTTATAGGAAAGATTGCAGTGAATATTTTAAGACATTTTCACTGGGCGACATAAAAAAAATCCACGCAAAATTAATAAAATCAACATTAACCTATCATTTTTTATGCGCCTAAAAAAAAAGAAAGATACAAACCTTGGAAACTCTAACTGTTAGAGTCTAATATACTGTCCAAACCCGTAATATATCAATAAGAACAAATAGCTTGTTAGTTAAATGTATCCTTTTTATTTATAATAATATAAATAATGGTTCATAACATATTTTAAAAGTAAATAATTTAAAAAAAAAAAATAACAAATTTAACTGTCAATATTTTAAAATGAATTATTTTTCACACTTCTTTAAAGAACTTCTTTATAAAGAAATGGTCTTTGTAGGCTCCTTCATCCGGTATTTTAAATCTACGTTCTTTTTTCTGTAAAAATCTAGCTACTAATGGTCTAGGATCAAAGTTTGCTGTACCACCGCTATTTAAAGCAATGTAAAGACGGCTATTAATTGATTCTCTGGAATTAGACTGCTTGTTTGATTTTAAAATGGTATGGCAAGATACAGCGCGTTCAGGCCCACAACTGTGAGGAGTAAGGGATATATATGTCTGCACGAGTTTGGAAAACAAAATGTTTGGTGTACTTATTTTTAAATAATAATAAAGTTTTCCAGTAAAACTGTTATACTGCGTGGTGCTGGGAGATTATCTGTAGCATATAGCCCAATGACTTCATCGCTGAACTGACTCAGGTTAGTTTTGTTAAATAATCCTTCAACATCACATCTTACAGAAGCAATCATTTCTGTACCATTCTGTGCATTTAAGAATAATTTGAGTTAACTGATTATACTTTTTTGTTCACAATCAAGTCGCTGATGGAGAAATTCAATGGAAATTAGGATAATTTCGTTTTTAACACTTAAAACACAACGTTTTGTCGAAACATAAGAATTTCTTACCGTTCGTATTCTTATATTATTGTCGTTGTCATCCTCATATTCTAATTCTACATCACACTGCAAGTTGTGTAAACCTTCTTCTTTTCCACTAGGAAAACAATTAGTTTTAATTATATCCAACGATGCAAGTACTGCCGTTTTCGTAGTTTCTATGTCACATAAAGTGGTCATCGATTTTTGGCCTTCTTTTTGTAATTTTTTAAACTGGTAAAGTATATCCATCATTAATGCAGTATAATACTCTTGATCTCCGCCTTCTTTCCACAGATTTAAAAATCCTTTAGCTACAGATTTTTCAGTTTTATTTCCACTCGTGTTGGTGATTATTGAACTCCAATGTGTTCTTATTGATTTTAAATTATTCCATACTGATTCACTTAATTTTATAAGATGCTGAACGAATCGTACTTCAAAATGTTCTGGAAATCGATAATACTTGTTTTTTGACTGTTTAGAAATTAATTGGAGCTCTTCTATTCGTACTGCTGAGCTTTTGTAAAATGTAGCCACAGCTTTCACATTTGATTTCCAGTTTTTTACTTCCACTATTGATGCTTGTAAATCTCCAAACGCTAAATCAGACCTATGTGCTACGCACCAAATACAAAGTATCTCTTTTTTTCAAATGTTCTTGAAGTCTGACCCAAAGACCACTTTTCTTACCAGTGTTGGCACTCTCACCATCGGTAGTTAATCCAGTCATGTTTTGTGTAGCAGTGTGTTTTAAATTAAGGTTTTTTAAAACGATTATAACCGAATCAAGTAAGCCTTCTGCTCCACGCTTAGAAGAATGGCTTTCTCCGAGAAATATATTTTTCATAGCTTTATTTTTATCAAGGTAACGGGCTGTTATGAACTTATTATCAATCGAATATTTATCAACAGAACCATCAACTTGTAATGTAAAACATTCTGCAATTTTCAATTCGTTTGTAACTAACTCCATGGTAATTTCAGCAACCGTATTTATTTATTTATTTATTTATTTATTTATAATAATTAAACGGACAAAGTCCTTAAACAAATGGTTAGATTACATCTAAATGATTACAATTAAATATAATGTGTGCACTGTACAGTATATAATGTAAATTGAGAAATACAAATTAATATTAATAATAATTACAAATTATTATTTTAAGATACTGAATATATAAAATAAGCAAGAGTATGACAATAGAAAAGTGAACTTAACTAATTAAAATTAAATGTAAAACTATTACCAGCAAACATTAATTGATTAGCAGGACAATTAATTATATATTTTTTGTCAGAATAAACAGGATAAAAAAGTTCAGGATTTCTGGTATTAAAGGAATGAATTTTAAAGTTGATCAAATAAAGTAATTCAGGACAATCAATTAAGCCAGAAATCAGTTTATGTAGAAATTTTGAGAGCAGCTGTAAACGTCTGACTTTAAGGGGCATAAGATCTATGTAGTTAAGAATATTTTCATATGAACCATGTGGTGGCCTATGTATGTTGAATTTAAAAGATATAAATCGCAAAAAGTTATTTTGTACGGATTCAATATTATCATCTTGTTTAGACGTATTGTTTATCCAAATAAGTGGACAATAATCAAAGTTTGAACGAACTAACGAATAATAAAGAATTTTTAAGGCTAAAGGATCAGAAAAATCATTACAAGAACGTTTGATAAAACCTAGGGTACGCATTGCTTTATTTTTAATAAATTCAGTGTGATAAGAAAAATTTAGTTTAAAATCAAATATTATTCCAAGATCCTTAAAAGTAGAGACAAATTCGAGATTAGAATTTGAAATAGAATAATTAAAAATAATTGGGTTCTTGATTAAATTAAAACGCATAACCTTACATTTTTCTATATTTAAAAATAGATCATTACTTTCACACCAATTTTGTAAATTGTTTAAATCTGATTGTAAATCAGTAGCATCTTGATTATCTTTTATTATTTTTAATAGTTTGGTATCATCAGCAAATAAATAAATTTCAGACTTTTTTATAACATCTGGTAAATCATTTATGAAAATGTTAAAAAGGAGAGTTGACAAATGGTCACCTTGGGGAACACCAGATGGAACACTAAATTTAGAAGAGCAGAAATGTTGATATTTAACTATTTGAAAACGGTTAGTTAGAAAGGAGCGAAACCAGGAAAGTAAAGGATCAAAAAATCCAAAAAATTCTAACTTACAGAACAATATTTCAAGATTGACACGATCAAAGGCTTTCGAAAAGTCTGTATAAATAATATCAGTTTGTGAGTTAGAATTAAATGAATTAAGAATTACATTTTTTACTAGGGTTAAATTCGTGCATGATGAACGTTTGGATATAAAGCCATGTTGATTTTTAAAAAGGTATGGTGAACAATATGATGTTAATTTAGAAGAGATTAAATTAGAAAATAGTTTAGGAATTGCTGATAGCTTAGATATAGGTCGATAATTCAATATTGATGAAGGATCACCTTTCTTAAAAACTGGAGAAACAAAAGAAGTTTTCCAGAATTCGGGAAAAATTCCTTTATTAAGAGAGGTATTGAAAATATTAGTTAAAATTGGAGTTAAAATAAATCTACAATTGTACAGAAAAATAGGTGGAATACCATCTGGTCCGCTACTTGATATAAGAGGTAACCTAGAAATCAAATTAAATACCTCTATTTCCGTAAACTTTAATCTATTAAACGAAAAGGCTGAGTTAATAATTTTATCATTTAAGCTATTGTTTCGAAAATTAGTATGAGTAGAATTACAATAGGCCTTAGAAAAATAAGATGCATAAAGGTTCACAATGTCTTGGCCATTATCAGCAGAGACAGAATCAAGATTAACAATTTTTGGTAGAAAATGTATATCTCTTCGATTATTTACGAATTTCCAAAATTCTTTCGGATTATGTTTGATAGAGAGTTGAATTTTAGCTTTGTAATTATAATAATCAAGTTTTGCAAGACTTTTGCATTTAGCTCTCAACTGAGAAAAATGATTGTAATCTATTAAATTTTTATTTTGTTTATAAGCTAAATGAGCAAGTTTTTTTTCTCTTATCAACGATTTAAGGTTATTAGAATACCAAGACGGGAAAGAGCTTTGGAATAAATATTTTATTGGAACAAATTTTTCAACTGCTTTATATATGATTGAATATAATTGATTAATAAGAATATTAATATCAGATGAATTAAAAACCTGATTTGAGATTGAGTTTCCTAAATAGTTAATGATATTAATATAATTACAGTTTTTAAAGTCATAAATTGATTCCGGTACTTGTAGTAGGTCAAATTGATTACAATCTAATGATATATTTAATGCAGGGTGGTGCTTATCAATAGGCAATAATGGGTCAGGATCGTTAAAGACATTAACATGAACATTTGATAATATTAAATCTAAACTGACATTATTATGATTACGAATATAATTATATTGGTTTAAATTAAGTTGAGATAACATACTTATAAAATAAGATTCAATATTTGAAATACAATTAACAGGTAAGGTAATATCAGACCAAATTAACGAAGGTAAATTAAAATCACCTAATACGATTATTTTAGAATTAAGATTATTTTGATAAAGTTCATTAAGAGCAAAAAAAAAATTTTCATACAAAATGATATTCGAACGAGGTGGAATATAAACACAACAAAGTATGTACGTAGTTTTACCTAATTGTAAATGTACAAATAAATGTTCGACACTGTTAATAGATACATTTAAAATTTTACTTTTTAAACTAGAGTCAACAGCGATTAAAACTCCACCACCAACATTACAATTACTATTAGACAAAGACCTATCACATCTATAAATTGTATAATTATTAAATTTCAGCTCAGAATTAGATATATTACCAGAAAGCCAGGTCTCGGAAAATGAAATTATATGGAAGAAAGAAGTATTAATTATAGGAATAAGGTAATCAATTTTAGAGACTAGACTTCTTACATTTTGATAATATATTGATAGTTCAGACTTTTTAGTTAGTTTTTTTGAACCGTAGAAGAAACGATAGATGGACAGCCTTTGATATATTTAATTGTCAAATCTTTTTCACCACTTGAAAGACGATTATTGAGTTGAATACGTAGGTCTTTGAAATGTTGCCGTTGCTTCGGTGTTTTATCACTAGTTATTTTAACATCATTAAACGTTTGATCGGATTTAAGTTTACAGGTAGAACCGAGAATTTTATAAACATCAGAGATAGATGGTAACAAAACTTTTATCGGACGGCAATTATTATTAGGTTTGCCTAAACGTTGAACAATAACAGGTTTAATATCTACACCGAGATTACGTAGTATGAGATTAACAGTCGAAATATCTGAATTATTTTCGCTATTATCGATCGGCTCACGAACATTAAATAAAATAACATTTTTAGATCGAGACTGACGGTCTATGAATTCCGAAAATGCATCATCATTGGAAGATGAATTCAGTTGTTTTGTTTCTAAAGAAACTACTCGGTTTACCAATGAGTCAATGTTATTTCTAAGTATTTTATTTTCTTCCTTTAGCGCAGATAGTTCCGTAAGAACACATGTAAATTTATTATCAAGAACATCAAGTTTCTTACTTTGATTGTTAACCAAATCAAAAAGCTTTGATTGCTCAGCTCGAACATCATCCAAACTACTTAATATACGTTTTAAATCAGTAGAATCAAAATGCTTGTCACTGGACTGTGAGGTAACTGGACTGTTTGAAAAGTCAGACTGTTGAAGGATCTTCATTGATTTGGTACAGTTTTGACACGTCCACAGTTTGTTGGCACTTGTAAGAAAATCTACATCTTCTTTTTTTAAAGAGACACATTCGGGATGAAACAAATGTTTGCAATTATTACAAGTTAAGTTAGATTGACTACGTTTCACAGTTAAAGAACAAATAGGACAAGATACCATTTTATATTACTAGCTGTAACAATATAGCAATAAGAGAACGATAAGAGAACGTGTGCACGCAATGACTGCTGATAGACGACTGTATCTAACATTTCACGATATATAACAGGATTTTTGTAGTGAACTGCAGAAGAGGATTGTTTAAAACAAGCAAATTTAGAATCTAAACCATGTTCTCCATAACTAGCAATTTGAGCATTAGCATGCATTTTCGAAAGTGATCTAGATGGCCAAGAATTAGCAGATAATGTCAATACTTTGCTATCATTATGGACATCGACAGCTAATTCAATTAAATTTTTAATAATTTCTGACTCACGGTTTTTAAGAATTTTCACCCATGGATGTTTATCAGCCTGTGTTAGCCATAGGCGCTGAGTCTCGTCAGCTTTACGAGCGGCATTATGAGCGTCACTATGCAAATGGTCAACAACCCTCATCAATTCTCTTTTACCATCACATCTTATACCATCAGCTATTGGGACATGCCCATTACGAGAAAACTTTATAGCTTCTGAAATTTGCTCAAAGCAAACCATGCATTTTAATCCTGATCGCTTCCCCAATTTAATTTTTTTGAGCATAGAAAATGTTTGCAACAACCAAGTAACATCTAGTTTCGACCTTTTATACCACTCTGTATTTAACTGAGATTCATTTTCTGTCGTATCAAGTGTACTAGACAAAGAATTGGTACTTGTACACGGTATACGATTTTCAATAATTAATTTTCTTTTTTTTTCTATATTTTGATCTTTTTCAAAAAAATAGTCTGTAATACATTTGGCCATTTTAATATTGGGAACTATAACGGATTAAATTGATTTGATATATTGATATCTACAAGGGAAACAAAATAAAAACAATATTACCTATGTATAATATAATATATGTTTGAAGATGACAGCTTAATAAAAATTATTTGATTTTTAAATTGCATAATGTAAACTACAATGTCGAAGGCGATCGTTAAGAAAAACGGGAGAATAAACGTATCTAAATCATTATATGTGTGTTTAATTTAGGGTGATTTTCAGACACGGATAAGCCCATGTAGCATACAATATAAAGAGCCCTATAATTACGAATCGTCCTGATTAGTATTTACTAAATACCAACTCGGGAGACTTCTATTATAAAACATTGATAGGTTATGAAACTACTAGTCAAGTTGTTACTGTACATCGCATTTGCGATGGAATTTATTTTTCAATTTTCATTTGAATTGCCTAGTTTGCAATCCGTTTAAGTTGTTAAATTTTAAACAAATAAATTATTGACTTTGTTAATGTAGTGTATAGTAACTAAAGCTTTAATATAAAATTCTTAAAAAAGTTAAAATTAGATAAGTGTTTTTCAGTTAATACGTATATTCTTTTTCTTACCTTATGATTTTTATCAATCCACTTCGATCTCGATGTTCGACGGATGCCGGAAAAATGCCAGAAAATACCAGAATATTTACGATAAAACAAAATTAAATACTAAGAAATTTGGCTGAAATAAAAATAGACATGTTATTACACACGTCAACGCTGCGATACGGCGCCGCGATAACGTCGTCAAATACCCACAAAACAATATAAATGAAAATAGATAATGAAGCCGATCGCTGGTGTGTATATTCGACAGTATATGGGCAACTTATAGTGATGTTAGCAATTTATAGCATTACGCATAAATATAATTATTCCAAATTTCTAATTATTACTTGATGTGTTATCGTTTTTTTTATATTTCTACCAAAAAATTGTTGTCGTCCAGTTATTAATATTACAATCTACTAGGTGACAAAAAATGTTCACTGGGCGACATTAATGTCGCCCAGTATGTTAGTCAAAATATCCACTGGAAGATTGAACGGTTTAGCGATGTAAATAAAAACTACTCAATAAAACCAGAAGAAGTTATTGAAGAACTGGCGAGGAAAAAAAGACGTTTACCTTTTTTATTATAAAAAACTATTAATTTGTATTTATAAATCATAATAGTAGTGAAATATACATAATTTATTATAAATAATATAGTTATTACATATTTACATCATAACTCGTATGTGTTTTTTTTGTATTATAAACTTATAGGTACTTAATATTTAGACCCTCCCCCCACAACAAATTTGAAAATACGCCACTGGTCGGGGGTCTCGATTCGCGTCAACCGATCCCAATGGCTCAATATTATTTACGTTTTCGACGTTTTCGTATTTCTTAGTTATTTTTCACGTGCTCTCCATGACCGATGTGATTATTTTGTAATTATAATTTTATTAAATTGTTAATTAATGACTATTAATTAATTTTATTATACAAAATATTTAAGGTACGTATAACAATACTGTGTTTAAAAAGTTTATTTTTAAAAATTTAAACTGAGAAATTTAACTATAGATTAGTTTATTCTAGATAGCTGTAGACAGGCACGGTGCTAAGAGGAACTCGGGGCTCTTAGGTATACCAGTTCAAATTTATTTGCTCAATAATAAATATAATTATTTTAATTTATATAATTATTCAGTCATAAAACAATAAAATATGTATTTTATTATTTATTAAATGTGTAAGTGCATTATAGTTTATGTAATTTTCGAAGGATTATATTTTTTTATACAAGGTCCATAAAAAACAATTAAAGAGTATTTTTAAGACATTCATTTTTCATAAGTTCATACAAATTATCTATATAAATACTTACGTATATTCCACAAACATTCTATATATATATATATATATATGTATACATCTATTACGCCGATTGATATTCGAGTTAATACATTTTGCGATTACCTCATTAATACATATATTAATGAAAATTTAATTTTCTCCCATATCTATGGTCGTCGTGCAACATATCAGGCGAAAAAATAACTAATGCCTGTGAGGTATTTTACTCAGCGTTTGGGAAATATTTTTATTCACCCCAACTAAATATTTTTGTTTTTTATGAAGTTACAAAAATAATGTAACACAACAATCATAATACGTGTTTTCTTAATTATCATAAATACACAAAACTCTTAATTTATGACAAAAAAATAAATAGTAAAATAGACATAATTAATTATATAACTAATTAGACCTAAGAACTTTTCAAAATTTGTAGGATTAGTGTAAATATACATATATATAATTTACTATTAGTGTTAATACCAAATATGTAGATAATATAAGTTTGATTTTAATTTTAATTTTTATTTTTTGTACTGTAAAATTGTTATACTGGCGCAATAAATGTATACTATAAAGGTAGTGTCTCAAATTCGGCGCAGTTGATGAATACCGATATTTTCATTAATTGTGAAATACAAAATAAATATATATATTTTATAATACATGTTAAGTTATTGTATTGAACCACAAATAGCTTCGTTAAATACATAGTAGACAATAAAATATAACAATAAAAAACCACGAAAATTATAATTGAGTTTTATATAGTACACATATTTTGCGTGATTAGCGTTGAGTTTTATTATATTATTTATAATAAATTAGTTAAGAATGAAAAAAATTAATTGTTTTAAAAAATATTAAATATTTTAATATCGCTATTAGTATATATAATATAAGCGTGAGCAACACCCGAGTGCATTGTTCTAATCAATATTTTTATCTGAGAAACGCTGTAGTGCCGTGTTGGATTACCACGCTCGACAGGTGCGTGTATGTAATATACCGTATATGCGTTTGCACAGTGCCTCGGCTGTCAGTTAAGCCGGGTTTACATTGGTAGAGTATTTGGTATAGTACGACGGTAGAGTGAGTATTCTACCGTTTCTAGCATAATGTAAACACTCAGGAATAGTATAGGTAGAGTACTAAAGATAGTAATCGGTATAGTAGAGTAGTTAACCACTGTGGTAAAGTACACTCTACTCGCTTTTACCCCCACCACCGTTTTTACTGTACTCTACCACCACTCTACTGGTGTAAACAGTCTAATTTTGGTATAGTAAAAGAAAATATTGTTGATATCGCCTGAACCGGCACGTGTATTCATATTTATTTTTAAACTTTGTATACATTTTTAATTTTGTTTAATGTTTTTAAACCTTATAATATAATATAACTATTCTACATTTCTGATCGTATTGTATTATATCATTTTATTTCATTATAAAAATGGTTTTAATAATTTTTAAAAATGAAGTGGTCTGAAAGTGACACGATAGCGCTGGTGGGTCGTTTACTAACGCAGTTGTAACCACTCGAAGGCATTTCTTTAATAATTTTCGACAATGACGACGACGTACGATATCCATATTTGTTATTTGATATTTTGAAGTTGATCAAACCTAACCGTGACGGCGTGAGTTTACACATCAACTGCACTCTCTTCTACTAAATACTAGCTTCTTGTAAACAGTTAATCTACTAAAATTAGTAGAGTAGAGCGAGTAGGCAAAATAGTAGGCTAGTGTACTCTACCAAATACTCTACCAATGTAAACCCGGCTTTATAGTTGATATTCGTTCGGTCATGACGGCTTATATCACTACTCGATTACTAGTCGTGATCATCTTGCTGACCGCGGCGGGACGCGCGTCCGCAGCCCGCGTGCTCGGCGTGTTCCCGCACCACGGGTACAGCCATCACTCCGTGTTCTTACCTTACCTGAGAGCGCTGGCCGACCGCGGTCACAACGTGCTGGTGATCAGCCATTTCGATTCATCGCACACGGGAATCATGGACATCAGCGTCAAGGGCTCGGCGCCTATGGACAATAACATCACGTTCCCGGACTCGACGACGTTCGGGTTTTTCGCCACGTGGAGGGACGTTTTCGTTATGTACAACATGGCGAAGATTACCGAGGGCATTTTTGAGGTGCCGGCCGTCCGGCAGCTGCTCG